CTCTTTAATCAACTGGAGACTCTAAATTAAGAAATTAACGAATATTTTCCAGTTTTTTTTGCTGTAAATATCATTTTATGCTTTCAGTACATACACTAACAACAATATTAGCCATTGTGTGGAACTTAGTGTTACCAAAACACAATGGCTGTTCTATATATTAGAAGTTGTTAATCTAACTGATTTTTACCAATAATTATTCTGTGAATATGCCATGAATGATCTTAATTGTGATTGGCTCACAAAGGAATTTACTGATGTTTGACAGTCTTGTATTGCACTGTTCTCCCTCTTTGTTGGTCAAGCTTGATTTTACAAAATTTATTTCAGTTAGCTATGAAATGTGAGGTTAGGTATACTATGGGTGGGGGTGGCAGTACTTGCCCTGTCAGTTTTGAAGGGCTATATGTTAGATTTAGAGTGAAAATCAGGGAACTTTTTTTTTTGTCTAAATGGAGTTGCACTATAAGAGATGTGAAACAGTTTATATTTCAGTAAAACACTTTTTATCAATTGCTAAAGGTGGTGTTTATTTCATAGTGTTTTAAAACCAAAGACAAATAAAATTTGTTAAAAGCTTGTACATTTGAAAAAAATGAAAATTGTGCCCAAGTTATCTGAACTCAAAAGAAAAATGTTGCTGCATTTTTTTTTCTTCTCAGCTGGGAAGTCTCTTCAAATCTCAGTTCTTGTGGTTGCCCAATGATAAGTTAGTTTTACCCTTTCACTGCAGCTGGGATGTATACTTCCCAGTCAAGGGAGGGAACACTACCATGTGATTGATCTTTGTCAGGTGACTCTCGGAGTAAAATTTAAAGGAGTCCTATAATGACAAACTGTATGTATGAAACTTTCACTGCAGCTGGGATGTATACTTCCCAGTAAGGGAGGGAACATTACCATGTGATTGATCTTTGTCAGGTGACTCTCGGAGTAAAATTTAAAGGAGTCCTATAATGACAAACTGTATGTATGAAACTTTCTCTGAGGTACAAATACTACATAGTTATTGAATTAGCCAGTGCTTGTTCAAATCATGATGTTAACCAATAATAAATTTCTGCTAAATTTGATCATATTCATCATATTAGTATTTCTTTTTCGTGTGTCCTACATGCACTCTTTAGACAAAAATATGAAGTATATAACATTTATAAAGATAGTTACTGAAAGCATATAAGGGAAGGTATATAAACAAAACATTTCAAACTTTCTAGTTAGGCCTCATTTTTGCTGTTTTGGTTTCCTTATGTTGGAAAGGGTTCAGAGGAAAACTACTAGAATGATTCCGAGGATGGAGGATTCTTATAGAAGTTATGTTAAGATCTCGTACTTGAAGAGACATTGGAAAGAGATGATAAATTCAAAGTTATTGAAGAAATTGGTAAGACTGAACATAGATTTTTTTTTGTGTGTGGTGGTGAAGAAATTGGTAAGACTGAACATAGATTGGGTGGTGAAGAAATTGGTAAGACTGAACATAGATTTTTTTTTGTGGTGGTGAAGAAATTGGTAAGACTGAACATAGATTTATTTTTGTGGTGGTGAAGAAATTGGTAAGACTGAACATATTTTTTTGTGGTGGTGAAGAAATTGGTAAGACTGAACATAGATTTATTTTTGTGATGTATTCTGAGAACAGTAATGAGAAGATACAATAATTAGATTTAGGATTTGGAAAAGTCAGATGCATCTCCAGTTGGCAGTTTTATTTGCCATCTATAGCGATAAAGTCTAACTTTACAGAAGTTAAGGATAAGGGTTGATGGATGTTTGGGGCTAGATTTAATGATTATTTTTATGTTTGATCGAGGTTGGGGACCAAAAGGCCCCATAAGTTTTACATGATGATATAAAGTATTTGGGTGACATTCCCCGCTGAGCTCGTGAGATCTTACATAGTTAAAAACTACAGTTCTCAGATACTCCTGGCTTACATTTTAAGTATGCAGTTATTTTCTCAACACCATAACTAACTACTGTTTTAGGCTATGCCAGTCTAGTGATTGAAAGCATTTTATTTAATAACTGATAAAACTTGAACTGTATAACAGTACCTTATACAGAAATCTTTACAATTACTATCACTGTCAAATCTTTAAAACATGTATACG